TCATTTGATCGAGCCTTTATAACTCGAGTGAATAAGCCTGCAAGGGTTTAAAACCTGGTGCCCTAAAACCAACTGGTTTGGGATTCACCTGCCTAAAGCTCGTTACATGGGTTATATAGAAAGAAAATGAGAAGATGATGATGATGATGATGATGATGATGATGATAATAATAATAATAATGATGATAATAATAACAATAATAAAATTGGAAAATTAGAGTAAAGTGAGAAAAACAAAAGAGAGACAATAACATGAAGAAAAGCCCTTTGACATTTGGTTGAAGAAACTATACCTTTGAAGTGAGGCAAGTAACCTAGTTTAATCTTAAGTGTCGAAGCAATCAAACTTATAAGAGCCTTCACTTATTGAAATGTAAACTTGTGAAGTGAGATTAATCCAATCTACGAGAGGGTGAGGACTACAGCTATGTAAATTCCTAATCTTAAAACACAACCCCAAGATAATTGAGTGAAAAGAATAAGTTTGGGGGTTGTGTATCTCTCGAGCGAGTGAGGATACATTTGACCACTTGGGGTTGAGACTCAAATTCATCATGAACCTGATATGTTGGCATGAATTCACACACACGTCAATTTGCATTTAACAGGTAAAGGTTGGGGTCATTTTTGCACTGATAAATTTTCATAAAGTCAAATACTTAGTCCAATCCTGAGCCACAACAGGGTATTAAGCCATGTTTGTTCAAAATTAAGTTTTTATCTTGTTTGAGGACAAACAATAGTTTAAGTGTGGGGGATTTGATAAGTATGTTTTTGCACACTTATTTAGGTCACAACCATGACTTAATTACGAGCAAAAGGATTGAGTTGTGACTTAATCTCGTTTCATTTGAGAATTGTAGGGAACACCGATGAACAAGGGGAAATTTAGGAGAAAAGACGCGAAAAATGACTAAAATGATGCAAAGTAAAAGTTCAGGGACCAAGGTACAATTATCCAAAAGTTAACCCGATGAACAAATCAAGACATTGATTAAGCTAAATGCCAATTGATGACATCTTGAGATGATGGAATGGAAACAACGAAGAAAAGATGCCAAGAAGTTAAAGATTTAAGTAGAGGGATCAAAGTGGAGAAAATGAAAGCGAGAATCTACCATGCGGCCATATGGTAGATCTCTTGTGCGGTCGTACACATGAGGGCAGGAAATTTTTTACGCAGCATGGCATAACCATGCGGCCACACGGATTAAAACCATGCAATCGCATGGTAGTTTTCCAAAGCAAAAATTTTACTTTCCTTGTACGATTGAAACTCTTTTGGTAGCAAAATTTTCATGCGATATAAATACCAAAAGACGTTCAGAACGAAGGGGACACCATTTTTACAAGAAAAATGGAGTTTTTGAAGGAGAAAACGAAAAGAGAACAAGAGGAAAATATCGCGCCAAGTGAAGATTCGATTGAAACTTGATTCGGGTGATGACGTTTCTTCAACTATTTTTGTATTTTCTTATTTTTAGCATGTTAGGCTAGATTTTTCATTGTTAGGAGATCGATGAACCTTGCAATACTACATTTGATTTTTGATTTGGAGATTTGACATATTTGAACACATGCTCCGGAATTGAATGATTTATATGTTGTTATTTCCATATTATTATTGTGCACGTAATTATATGATTTTGATGGCCTGTTTTATGCATTCAAAAGAAGGAAAATAGGCTCGACATAGTATGAATTATCATAGGATCCGATAGGGGATAGAAATATACCTCTATGCCTTGTGTGAATTGTTGAATATTCATGAAATCATAATTCATTCCTGTATGTTAGTATTCGTCATAGAGATATAGTCAAATCACATATTGGGGTAGGTTTGACATTACTCGAGAGAGATTTCTAAATTAAAATAGGAATATTAATTCATCAATTGTGGGAAAATGTGTCAAATTTGCATAATTAAAAGTTGAACGGGTGCTGCTGGGGAATTCGTGATCCTAGTGCGTTAGTAAATTCATTAATTTCATAAATTCTCGTAGATTGTGTTCAAGTCATTTTGCATTTAATATAATTCTCTCATTCATAATTGCATCATAGTTTATATCTTCCTTAATTAAATCACAATACATCAATTTTACTTTCGTGTTTCAGTTAAGGTCATAATAGGTTGATTTGAACTAATTCAATCATTCTGGGATCGATACTTGGACTCATAGTCCATTTTACTACTTGTTAACGAACTGTACACTTGCGGTGGGTTGTAAATCGAAAGAAATAATTTCGTGAACAGTGTAGGTGTATCGTCCTGAATAAAAAACATAAAAATAACATTTCTTAAATTATTGTATGACAATCGGTCTGAATTGATAATATTAAAACACTAAGTGTTCCATTAAAACTGACATCTTTGGATTGAAGTTCAGTAGACTCCAACACGTGTGCAATAGCCTTATCAACCTGATCCTACACTTCTTTACTGGCAAAAAATGAATCATCAAAGCTTGTAAGTGTCTGTGAGGAGCCGACTCCTAGATCAAATGAAGGAGATTCAAGAACATAGTCATCATGAAGAGCATTTGAAAACTCAGGTGCCACGTGACCCTTGTCCATTTTTTCAGCCGCATCATCAACTTTTCGCTCAGGTTCTATGTTACCCTTGTCCATTTTTTAGCCACATCATCATCTTTTAGCTCAGGTTCCATGTGACCCTTGCCCTTTTTGTCAACCACATCATCATCTTTCGGCGCAGGTTCCATGTGACCTATGCCCTTTTTGTCAACCACATCATCATCTTTCAGCACTTGTTTAATCAAAATATCTTCACCACTCAACTTCTTATGAAGTTCATCCATCACCGAAGATAAAATGTCAGATACAGATTCAACAAAAATTTTAAGAGACAACCTGATGTCACTCAAGCCATCTTTCAATATATTGTGACTCTAAATGACCTCATTGAGCTTTAAAGAATTGATTGATTGACGCATGTTTACATTCATCTCAGATAATTCTGACTTCATCGACATAAGCTCCTCTTTCAGCCCTTTGTTCTCCACTTGGAACTTGGTTATTTCCTTATCAATAAACTACTTCAGTCGACCACATTCCTAATAAATTTTGTAGTTAGTGGAATTGTATATAAAATGTGTTCTTAAGTGAATAGGCAATGAAATTACTTACCTCAACACATGAGCAATTTGGATGGTAGGCAGCACTTTGCTGATCGCGAGAGCTAGAGCCAGCAGCCCCCGTTTGTTTATACAGTGATGGGTCTACAAAATATGAATCTTCAACATATACCTTCGACAGCAGGGGAGTTACATCACTTGTACCCACTTGATTTTTAGATATTCTAATGTTCTGAGTTAGTTGCCTAGGCTTTGAGTACTGCACATCTACCGATCGTACACAACATACACAAGAATGAAGAAAAGTCACAAGGCATAAGTCACATGTTTCACGTCACAATCATATGAAGAAAGTCACAAATAACACGTTTCAGATCACATTCACAAGTCACAACATACATAAGGATAAAGAAAGTCACAAACCACAACATACATAATGACAAAAAAGTCACAAGTTACATGTTTCAGGTCACAGTCATAAAAGATATGTCACTTTACAAACAGGATATTTATAATTCAGGTCACAAATCATATTTCATATCATAATATATGTGAAGTTCGTATTTAGAACCTATCATATATGACATTGTGAGCTCTACTTTAGATGGATCAATGTCGTTTATCACAACCTGTTTCATATAAGATGAAAAAAATATGAGCATATGTCATTTCAAATTTATGCAATTAACCAAAGATTACATAACAATTTAGATGTATTTAAGACCTTACATTCTCATTACCAAACACTTTGTCCTCCAACATTGCCGCTGAAGGATGTTTGTGCACAATCCAATTCATAATACGTGGATGTTTCTTACAAATTCTTGTGGTCACATTCCCCTCAAGTGCAGGTATGCACTCATACAACCACACCTGAAAAGCCACTAAAAAACATATCAATCTGTAGTGACTAGTTTATGAAGCTGTAGTGACTAGTTTGTTTTGATAGTCCCTTTCTTAGTGACGATAAGGTGGTTTCAAATAAATATCTACTCCGAGGAAATGTTTCAAGAGTGGCAAAATCATCTACAAATGCAAATATATATTGATCCACCACCTTCGGGTAGGATGTAGCAAATAAATATGAGGTGATGAGATAGATAATTTCAATCTTAACAACATCAAGGTCTGGTGCATCATCCAGTGAAATAAAAACCCTTTTGACATCTTCACTTGTAACAAATTTTAAATCCTTAAAATATATGTCCTTTGCTGAAGATGGTTTCTCATCTAACATCGGTCGACCATCAAACCCGTCATAGCTCAATCCCATAACGAAATAAAATTCAGCAATTGAAAATTGAATATATCTCCCATTCAGGTTAAACTACATCTCCTGCTTATTCGGTTGCTTGACTTCCCGTAGTAAAACTTGGTGAATCAATTGTGGCTGCACAACTATCTCCCTACAATGCATGTAGTAGGAGAAATATGTGTTTTCTAGAATTTCCCTCTGAGCAGCATTAAACTTCATCACAAAGTGCGTAATAACACTCTGTATTGGTGTTGTGATGATCTTCCCAAAAAACCAATTCCTTGGTTTTATTATATATTTTCAGTCCTGCACAATCATAATGTCAATAATATTACTGTGACCTTCGCTGTGACCAACACATACATATTCAGATCATAAATAGTTGGTCACAAAATTTCCAAAATCATAACACAAAGAAGTATAAAGTCACAATACCTATTTCATTCACAAACAATCCAGCACCCCTTAGAAAATACATTCTATTAAAATAAATAGTAATTGATCACATAGTACATAAAATAAGTCACAAACCCTTCGAATTACAAAATACCTAAAACAGGTCACAAAACGATATTTCCTTCGCAGAATATCCAAATCAGGTCACAAACTACACAAATAATAGGTTACAAATTTCAGAAATTAGGTCACAGAATCGAAA